TCCTGGAAGTCTGGCCCTATTTTACCTCTCTAGTTTTCTCTCTCATTACTTCATAGTACAAACTCTGTTTTAGTCAAGCTAGTCTCACTACCCTGAAGCCTGCTGTGTCTTTCCCTCTAAGCTTTTGTTCACATGGTTCCTTCTGCTTGGAATACCTTCCCCTTCACCCTGTGTTTGTCCAGATTTTAAACCACTTTCAAGGCCTAGGTCACATTTTATTTATTTTTTAAAATTTTATTTATTTGTCAGAGAAAGAGTACAAGCAGGGGGAGTGTGGCAGGCAGAGGGAGAAGTAGGCTCCCCACTGAGCAAGGAGCCTGATACGGGACTCGATCCCAGGACCCTGGGATCATGACCTGAGCCGAAGGCAGACACTTAACCGACTAAGCCACCCAGGCACCCCTAGATCACATTTTAATTCACACAACTCAACCCACTTTTCTATTCCAGACTGCCCATAACGTGTATTGTTTATATTGACAATAATATTCAAACTCTTGATCATACACTGCATCAATACAAAATGTTTTAGCACATCCTTCCAATATATGTGAATAATGTATCCTTCCAATACATAATGGACATATACTACCAAGCTAGTATATAATATGAATCATTGAATATATGCAAAATACAAATACAAAAATGATGAGCTAAAGATGAAATGATGTTTTTAGAACATTTTAAATTGTATTTTATTAACTATAGGTCATTATTGAGAGTGAATATGAGTTCATATTTCCATTAGTCTTCATGATTTAAGATTATTTTAGCCAGCGCCTTGATAGAGATTAGCTCAGCATTGTGTTTTCACAAGAAGGTGGCAGATGATGTGTGCTTTGCTAGGTAGGAGCTTCACCTTTGTCATTTCCCTGTCATTCGCTTAGACTTGTATTACAAATCTTCTGTCCAACATTTCTTTATAGAAATCTTGTTAAGATACTTGTCTATTTTGTGGAACTTGGTTTAATTAAAACTAGATAATATATCCAAATGACCACCTAACTTGCCATTAGTTATAATTAGCTAAAGGCCAAAAACATGCTGGTGTTTCGCAAGATCTTTGGACCCTCTGGGCTGAGTGAGGGCACCTGTGTCAAGATGTATACGCAAACCTTCCTTTCTTACTATCTTAGATTTTAAAATATATAAATTGAATTTCTGTGTTTTTCTTTTTGCTTCCCAGTGGATCATCTTGTATACTTCCTGGGCTATGATCATGCTTACTTTGGAGAGCACCAACTTAATGTATATAAAACTTGTCTCTCAAATGTGATTCTAGGCCATTTTAGGGAAAGCTTATCTGCTTATTTCATGTTCCCCATAATTAGCACCATATTTGCCCAGCACTATCCTAGGTACTTTATTATGTGTGAAATATGTTTTTTAAAATACCAGGATGAGGGCGCCTGGGTGGCTCAGTTGGTTAAGCGACTGCCTTCGGCTCAGGTCATGATCCTGGAGTCCCGGGATCGAGTCCCTCATCGGGCTCCCTGCTCAGCAGGGAGTCTGCTTCTCCCTCTGACCCTCTTCCCTCTCGTGCTCTCTATCTCTCATTCTCTCCCTCTCAAATAAATAAATAAAATCTTTAAAAAATAAAATAAAATACCAGGGTGAATTTAGACTGTGCAGTTTCTTAAAGCCATTTCAGCCATTTTTAAGAGTACAATTCAGTGTTATTAAGCACATTCACAATGTTGAGCAACCATCACCACTTTTCGTTTCCAGAAATTTTTCATCATGCCAAACAGAAACTCCATACCCATTCAGCAGCAACTTCCTATTTAACCTCAATCTCTTGTAACCTCTGTTCTACTTTTTGTTTCTATGAAGATTTGACTATTCTAGGTACCTCATAAAAGTGGCATCATACAATATTTGTTCTTTTGTGTTTGTTATTTCACTTAACATAATGTTTGCAATATTCATCCATGTTGTAGCATGTGTCAGAACTTCATTCCCTTTCATGGCTAAATGATAACTCCATTGTATGTTTGTATCACATTTTTTAATCCATTCACCTGGTGATGAACACTTGGGTTGTTTCCACCTTTTGGCTATTGTGAATAGTGCTACTAATGAACACTGGTGTACAAGTACCTGTTTGAGTCCCTTTTTTAATACTTTTGGGTATATACATAGGAAAAGGATTGGTGGATCATATGGTAATTCAATGTTGAACTTTTTGAGAAACCATCGAATTGTCTTCCACAGAGTCTGCACCATTTTACATTCCCACCAACAATGTGTAAGAGTTCCAGTTTCTCCACATTCTCGCCAACACTTGTTATTTTCTGCATTTTAAAATAATAGCTATCCTAGGGGCACCTGGGTGTCTTAGTTGGTTAAGCGTCTGCCTTTGGCTCAGGTCATGATCCCGGAGTCCTGGGATCGAGCCCCGCATTGGGCTCCCTGCTCAGCAGGGAGTCTGCTTCTCCCTCTCCGTCTGCCGTTCACCCTGCTTGTGCTCTCTCTCTCTCTCTCAAATAAATAAAGCCTTTAAAATAAATAAAATAAATAAAAAATAATAGCTATCCTAATAAGTATGAAGTGTTGGCTCATTGTGGTTTTGAATTGCATTTCCCTAATGACAAATGTTAAACATCTTTTCACGTGCTTATTAACCATTTGTATATCTTCCTCGGAAAAATGTCCATTCAAGTCATTTGCCCTTATTTTAATTAGGTTCTTTATCTTCTTGTTGTATTATAGGAGTTCTTTATATATTCTGGATATATAAAATATAAGATTTGCAAATATCTTCTCTAGTTCTTTTTTCAAAAGATTTTTTAAATTAATTTTATTTTTTTAAAAGATTTTATTTATTTAAAAGAGAGCGAGAGAGCATAAGCAGGGGGAGTGGCAGAGTAAGAGGGAGAAGCAAACTCCCCACTGAGTAGGGAGCCCAACACGGGGCTTGATCCCAGGACTCCAAGATCATGACCTGAGCCAAAGGCAGATGCTCAACCAATGAGCCACCCAGGCGCCCAATTAGTTTATTTATTTTAGAGAGAGAGAGCACCAGCATGGTGAGGAGGGGCAGAGGGAGAGAATCTTCAAGCGACTCCACACTGAGTGCCAAGCCAGACGTGGAGCTTGATCCCACAACCCTGAGATTGTGATGGGAGCCGAAATCAAGTCAGACGCTTTTAACTGACTGAGCCACCCAGGAGCCCCTATCTTCTCCAATTTTGTAATTGTCTTTTCACTCTCTTGATAGTGTCTTTTGATGCACAAAAATTTTAAATTTAATGAAGTCTAATTTATCTGTTTTTTTCTTATGTTACCTGTGCTTTTGTATTATATCCAAGAAATCATTACCAAATCCAATTCATGAGGTCTTTGCCCTATGTTTTTATAAGAGTTTTATAGTTTTAGGTCTTACATTTAGGTCTTTCATCCATTTCAAGTTAATTTTTATACATGGTGTAAGGAAAGGATTCAACTTCATTCTTTTGCATGTGGATGTTCAGTTTTTCCAGCACCATTTGTTGAAAAGACCATCCTTTCCCCATTGAATGGTTTGGCACCCTTATGGAAAATCAATTGACCGTATGTGTGGGTGTTCATTTCTGGGCTCTCTGTTCTATTCCATTGATCTATATGTCTGTCCTTATGCCAGTACTGCACTATTTTGATTACTGTTGCTTTATAGTAAGTTTTGAAAGCAGGAAGTGTGAGTCCTCCAAATTTATGCTTCTTTTTCAAGACTGTTTTGGTTATTCGGGGCTCCTTGAGATTCCATGTGAATTTTATTTTTTCTTCCATGTGAATTTCAGGGTGGGTTGTTCTATTTCTGCAAAAAATGCCACTGGGATTTTGATAAGCATTGCATTGCATCTGTTGATCACTTTGGGTAGTATTGCCATCTTAAAAATACTACGTTTTCCGGGCGCCTGGGTGGCTCAGTCGTTAAGCGTCTGCCTTCGGCTCAGGTCATGATCCCAGGACCCTGGGATCGAGTCCCACATCAGGCTCCCTGCTCAGCAGGAAGCCTGCTTCTCCCTCTCCCACTCCCCCTGCTTGTGTTCCTGTTCTCGCTGTCTCTCTCTGTCAAATAAATAAATAAAATCTTTAAAAAAAAATACTACGTTTTCCAATTCATGAACACAGGATATCTTTCCATATGTGGGTTATTTTTTAAATAACTATGTGCAAAATGATACTTGTGTTTATTAAAAAAATAAAGGTCAAACAATATGGTAAAGTACAAAGAAAGAAAGAACAAATTACCCTAAATCTCACTACTCATTGATAAGTACTGTGAACTTTTTGGTGAACATCCTTCGGAACATCTCTTGTTTATAATTTTACATAAATAGCCTCTGAGGGTTTTTTTTCCTACTTAATATGTAATACATGTTTTTCAATGTCAATTACTAGATTTAAATCATGTTTGCACATAGGGGTGCCTGGGTGGCTGAGTCGGTTAAGCGTCTGCCTTCAGCTCAGATCATGATCCCAGGGTCCTGGGATTGAGCCCCGAGTCAGGTTCCCTGCTCAGCGGGGAGTCTGCTTGTCCCTCTCCCTCTGCCCCATCCCCTTCTCACATACGCTCTCTCTCTCTCTCAAATAAATAAATAAAATCTTTAAAAATAAATAAATAAATCATGTTTGCACCCTCATTTAGTTAAACCAATACTGATAAACATTTAGTTTGCTTTGGACTGTGAGTAATATTTATTAATATCATAGTATTAATGGTAGGAAAAATAGTATAATAATGAATGTTTGATGTTTGCTCTTTTGAATGAAGAAAGCTACAAAGTTTTTCATCTAAAAAGTTTCTGCAATTTGATGTACTGTGATGCATTAGTAATAGATCTTTGGTGTAGTAGGTGCAACAATTAAAAGTAGAGAACTAGACACTTGTTTAGAGATTTGTTTATACTCTAGCTCTTCTATAGCCCAGTGAATAATAATAAAGGTACAACCAAATGAAATAAGTTTGTAAAACCATAAGATCTGGTATTCATTTATTCTCACGTTCTGCCTTTCAGGAAGAAGGCATGAATTTAGTAACTAGAGAAGCAATGCATGAATGGTGAGTAGTGTACTTTGAATTACTAGTCTGATCATCTCTATATTCAGTTACATCTTTTCTTTTAGTTAGGCCAACTCCAGTACTGATATCTCTTCTTTTGCAGGGAGGTACAAACCGCAATACGGATAAGTCGGTCTTGGGAAGAAAGTTTGAACCTGGTATGGTATTAACACTTCAATTTTATAGAAAATTTGAAATTTTTACTGATTTTCAGTATTGGCACTACCTAGTTTTGCTGTAATTTCTAGAAATCTAAGCTCTCATTTGAAATTGAAATTTATATACTGCATAAATAATTTTTGATTGCTCCTAAGAAACAGTTGATGACTTACTCATAAAAATAACTGATATCATTTGAAAGTGGGGTTCAAAGTAAATAGTTGTCTGATACAAAACCATTATTGTTGTGGACCAGCTTCCTGTCTGTCCTAGTGAGTCTAAGAAAAGTTCAGTTCTGCTGGTCAAATTGCTTAGATGACAAAACAATAAATGATTTCACTCCTTCCTACATAATTTATTAACTAGGTATTAGAGTTTCAACTCACAGACAATGGGTTTCCTGGATAAATACTACATTTCTATGCCTGTAACACATATACTCCCACTAACATTTTAACATGCGACCTTTAGTTTGAACATATTTGGAATTTAGTTACACATTATGATTACTTGGTTGTGGAAGTTGAGCAATGTTTAGGGTTCTTTTCCATGGACATTTCAGATAATGATAGAGAATTGAGCTGAAAATTGGGTAGAATAGATTCTGGCTAGATGTCAGTGTCCAGATTTGGGAGTCACTAGATTAGGAAATGGGTCATCAACAGAAACAGTGACATCTTATTTTCCTTTGGCCCTGAGTGCCTTAGATGGACATCTGTTCCTGATTTAGGAGTAGGTCCTGAAGATTGAGTAGATAACCTCTGAAGCCTGCCGCTTTTCATGTTTGGTGCTAATACAATTTATAGATGCTGTTGGATTCCCTTAACTGACCCAGTTCTGGTTACTTCAGGGGTTGGCACGAGTGAGTGAATCTGTGAATGTGTTAGGAAGAAGAAGGGAACATGTAACATAACTGTACTGTGTCTTAGAAAAGAAAGCACATTTTAAAGTCCTGAATTATGCAGTACTGATTTTGTCCACATAAAATCTATAAACATTTTTTAATAACTGTCGTTATTTTTGCTGTCCCATTTGTATCTGAGTTCTAACCAAATCCTTTTTTATTGTTTCCCGGACATAGCATTGTAGTTTTCAACAACAAACACGGGTCAGACACCAAGAGAAACAGTTTAATTTAGGCTTTGTGTATATACTAGTAAGTATTGCTCGGTATCAAGTACTCACATTCTAGGCCTTTTGGGGACACTGGGGAAGCCCCTCAACTTGCCATGAGCTCTCTTTCCCAAAAGGAAAGAGTAAAGTGAATCTTGGCTTCCCTGCTTGCTTTGGGATGATATGAGCTCCTCACCATGGTACAGCCACTGATTCAGTAAGGATTCCCTTGCCCATATAGCAGCTGTCTCCCTAAGTATGTGCTAGGTAAGCAATTGGTGCTCCAATGGTACACTGCTTTCTGCTTACACAGAGTGACAATGATTTAGAGAAACCATCTTCAAAGCACATCGATTTAATTCCAGTATCCCCAGCAGCTCCTCCCACCAGGGGGATTGGGAAGGTAAGAAAGGAGAGCCTAAGAATCTGTGTCCCTTGAAATTTTTATAAAATATTAATGTTTCACCACCCACATTTTGGGGGGATATATTTTGCCATAGGACATCTGATTCTAAATGACATTTTTCCCTTCCTTTTCATCTCTTGAACTATTATTAACATATAACAAAAGTCACCAACTTTTAAGCATATGATTTGATTTTCATAACTGTGTACAATCCTGTAACCATAACCATAATCAAGATATAGAACAGTTCCCACACTCTACACAATGTGCTCGTGATCTTTTGCACTTGATATCCTCTTCCCCCACCCCCCGCCCACCCTAGGAAACCACTGATCTGCTTTCTGAGAAGAGTGGTGGTTTTAAAACCTCTGTTCTAATTTGGTTTTAGCAGTGTTTTCCTCCATCGTTACAAACCCGTGTGAGTTGCACCACTTTGCCTCCAAGCCCTATTCCTAGTCCTACGCAACAATTTACAATGTAAGTTCATGTTGTATAAAAATATACCAAATTCCTCATAAAATAAGAATTTTAGAAACTTACAAGAAATAATAGCTCCAGGTTCTATGACAACCAAAGAAGTCGTGTGTTTTTAGCTAAATTAAAATGTCATTGTTTTGATTTATTATTTTGTATATTGAAAAGAATTGAGTGACTAAGAACATGTGAGAACATGCGAACACACGAAGAATCAGTAATTCATTAGCCCTGTTGAACGTAGGCTTCCTCTCCAAGCTTGATGATAAGGATCAGAGCTAATTCTTAAACTGTAAACAGCTGTACCTGGTCATTTACCCATGACTTTCACCCTGATTCAAGGCAAGTCACAGCTAGAACTGTAGGTCTTTCCAGCTTTTCTCCCCACCCCCACCCCCGCAATTTCAGAGAATCCTGAATCCTTATAAATTACAAGACAATTTGCTATCCTGAAGCATTCCTGTTTTTAACCCAGATTTAGAGAAGAGCAATAAAACAATGTGATACTACACAGTCCTTTTTTAGTGTATGTCCTTAGATCTATTATACTGAAATAGTCATAGCTGATTTTGTTCAAATTTTTTCTTGTAATGATTGTCATAATTTTATTTTAGAAGAAGTCAAAACCCCACCAACATTATTAGACCAAGTATCTGTGGACCATTTAAAAGAAAAGGTACTTTTATCTATCAGCAAAAATAAATAGAACTTCAAATTATTTTCATAAAATATATAAAATCAAGTGTTACAAGAAATTAATTTTAAAGGATTTATTTTAAATATATTTGATAAGTTACTAGAGGCCTTTCGTTTTACCCAAACAAACGTATGTAAAGATAATTTTAAAAGCTGTAAAGTGCCATATAAATGTGAATTGAGAAATTTAATTCCAGTTTAGTCAACTACTATGATTTTCATTATATAATTCACCAAGCTAGCTGCCGTAAATACTTTCTGAAACAAGGTGGGGGATGAATGAATGAACAAACAGAATGAATCGGCCCTAATAGTCCACTGAATCTCGACCCCTGCCCTGACTGCCGCTCTACCTCCTTGTTGACTTCATCTGAATAAGTCGACACAAATCAGATCCACTTATGACACTAAAAATAGATGCTATGTTTCATGCTATGCTAATTTGGGTTAAATATATGGAAAATGACCCACCCGGTAATAAAAAGGCACAAGAAAAAAACAAGTTGGTTGCTTTGTTGTTGTTTTTTGTTTTTTTTTTTAACTCCCACAGCCCTGGATCCCATTTCTCAACCCTGCCTCATAAGCTAGGTTGTTCTTCCTTTTTTGTTAATACCACTACTGAGTTTATAATAGGGAGGGAAAATGGATAAATAGGAAAGGAGGTTAAACTTTTAAAATGTGTACTTGTGAAAAATCCATTAAGATAGGGAAGAAGAAGGAGAAGAGAAAAAGGAGGAAAAGGGGGAAGAAAAGGAGAAGGGGAAGGAGGAGAGCAAAACTGTAGGGAAAGAAATTGAAATTTAAATGTACTTCAGTCTTGCGTGTATTTTGGATTACTTAATGGCAGTTGTCCTAACAACACATCTAACTCAGCATGTACTTATTATATTCTAAGACTAAGACTAGATCAATTCCGGAAAACACTCCTTCAAACTAAGCACTTTGTTTTATGATGATGGATCAATGACCTAGCTTAGGGGTCTTTTGCCTGTGCTGTGAAGTTAGGGGCTAGTGTTGACAAGACATTTAAATATATTAAGTTTAAGAGCTGTTAGAAAGTTGGGGTCATTTGAGTATTTAAAATAAAATATGCTGGGGCGCCTGGGTGGCTCAGTCGTTAAGCGTCTGCCTTCGGCACAGGTCATGGTCCCAGGGTCCTGGCATTGAGCCCTGCATCAGGCTCCCTGCTCCGCGGGAAGCCTGCTTCTCCCTCTCCCACTCCCCTTGCTTGTGTTCCTGCTCTCGCTGTCTCTGTCTCTGTCAAATAAATAAATAAAATCTTAAAAAAAGAAAAGAAAAGAAATAAAATATGCTTAGGGGCACCTGGCCGGCTCAGTTAGTGGAGCGTGTGACTGATCCCAGGGTTGTGAGTTCAAGCCCCATGTTGGGTATAGAGATTACTTAAAATCTTAAAAAAAAATAAATCAACAAAATAAAATATGCTTAAATTGAAGACAGCGTTTTACTAAATTAAAATAATTCTCCTTTTGGGGAGCCTGGGTGGCTCAGTCACTTGAGCGTCCAACTCTTGATTTTGGCTCAGGTCACAATCTCAGGGTCATGAGATCGAACACCTCGTTGGGCTCCACACTCAGCACAGAGTCTGCTTCTCTCTCTCTTTCCCTCTCCCTCTGCCCCTCCCCCCATTCACATGCTTTCTCTCTCTAAAATAAATAGATCTTGGGACACCTGGGAGGCTCAGTCGGTTAGGCATCTACCTTTGGCTTGGGTTGTGATCCCAGGGTCCTGAGATTGAGTCCCACATCCAGTTCCTCACTCAGCGGGGAGCCTGCTTCTCCCTTTCCCTTTGCCTACCACTCCCTCTGCTTGTGCTCTCTCTGACAAATAAATAGATAAAATCTTTAAAAAAATAAATAAATAAATAAATAAGTCTTTTAAAAAAATAAATAAAAATAATTCTCCAAGACATTTACACATAAAATGTTTTATGACATTGAAAATTCCTGGAATTTTCTTAGAATTTATGATTTAAAAAATTGTTTTTATAATTTTCACACAATATGTTTGGTTTCTGCCCAGTATCTTGGTGGATGTGGCATGTCTCACACAAGCCTCTCATACCTGGTTTCCAGTTGCTCTGGAGGATGACTGCCTCCTTTCTTTGAGGTATCCCTAAGAACTCCAAAGCAAATTCTATATGCACTGCATAGTCTGTATTTTAAGTCAGACCCTTCCAAACACAGCCTATACAAGTTTGGTCAAAATTCTTGTGGAATTTTAGATATAGTAACAGATTAAATAGAAATACAATTTTATTTATCTATTTGGGAATATGAATATCCATTTGGGAAACAACAAATGATGTCTTATTTGGAGCCTATTAATACAAATAAAATGTGGGGAAAGAAGGTATAAAAAAATCCAAAGAGGTCTTGGGTAGGGGAGAAAAAAGAATGAGGACTATATAAAATGGGAGAGAGTATGAGATAGCAGTTAAAATCTCCAAGCCTATGAAGGCGCATTGTATGGTGATAAGCTACACCTCCTTCCACTAGAAATAAGCAAGAGCAAATAAGACTTCAAGTGGGAATTCTGAGAAATCTGCAGGAATCAGATAGCTATAAAGAGTGTTTTACAAGTAATAATGGTTTCAGCAAAGATAATTTTTATATGATGAATTTGTCTTGGTACATCTGGCTTTTAATTTAAACCCAAAAGGAAAGGTGAGTAGTTTTTCCATAATGATGTAATTGTAATCTGGCATGGGACAGAATGCCCAGACCTCTTTTGAGCTTTATGAGCCATGATTATACTCCTAAGGAAGGTCTGTGGAATCTCTATTTCTAGCGATATTTATATCACTTATTATATTATATTATATTATGTATATATCTCTAGAAATAGAGATTATATTTATTTAATTTAAAGATTTTATTTATTTCTTTAAGAGAGAGAGTGTGTGAGCAGGGGAGGAGCAGAGGGAGAGGGAGACAATCTCCAGCAGACTCTGTGCCTAGCACAGAGCCCCTCGCGGGGCTCAATCCCAGGACCCCAAAGTCACGACCTGAGCCGAAACCAAGAGTCCAACACTTAACTGACTAAGCCACCCAGGTGCCCCAGGAGATAGATAGATAGATAGATAGATAGATAGATAGATAGATAGATAGATATAAATTATTATATATAAATATATAAAATCTTTTTAAAAATGAAAATTATTTTAATTTTAAAAAAGATTTTATTTATTTATTTATTTATTTGAGAGAGAGAGAGAGAGAGAGAGAGAGAGAGAGCGCAGCAGAGGGAGAAGGAGAAGCAGGCACGGAGCCAGACTCAGGGCTCTATCCCAGGACCCTGGGATCATGACCTGAGTTGAAGGCAGACGCTTAACCAACTGAGCTACCCAAGTGCCCCATTTCATTTTTTAAAGATTTTTTAAATTTATTTATTTTATTTTATTTATTTATTTGAGAGAGGGAGAGAGCTCAAGCAGGAGCCCGACACGGGACTTGATCTCAGGACCCCCAAGATCATGACCTGAGCTGAAGGCAGACACTTAATCGACTGAGCCACCCAAATAGGTGCCCCTATTTTATTTTATTTTTAAGTAAACTCTACACCCAACATTGGGCTTAAACTCATGACCAAGAGCCACATGCTCGACTGACTGAGCCAGCCAGGGGCCCCTATTCCTAGGGATATTTTTTGATGAGTAGATGGCCTTAGTGTTTTACCATTCAAATTCTACCCTATGAGTTATGGGCTTGAACATCAGTTTTCTCTCATCCAGACATGGTTATCACATCATGGTGTAATAATGTACAGTTTGAGCATTTACTTTGATGTAAAGATTACAGCAATGTAGTTTTTTGAGATTAGATGTGTCTCCTTAATCTTTAAAAATATATTTATTTTATTCATTGTATGCTATTAAAGAATTGATCTATTTAGTTTGTTGTATATGTTTGGCAAAATAAAGATAGCAACAACCTAAACATTTAAAATAAGGAATGAGATTAAATTATGGTATGGCCATACTACATAGCTCTATAAAATCACGTTGTAGAATTTAGTTAATAATATGAGAAAATTATAATCATTAAAAACAAAAAATAGGGCACCTGGGTGGCTCAGTTGGTTGGGCGACTGCCTTCGGCTCAGGTCATGATCCCGGAGTCCCGGGATCGAGTCCCGTGTTGGGCTCCCTGCTGAGCGGGGAGTCTGCTTCTCCCACTGACCCTGCCCCCTCTTGGGCTCTCTCTCTCTCTCTCTCTCTGTCAAATAAATGAATAAAATCTTTAAAAATAAATAAATAAAAACAAAAAGTAGGTTACATGTTGGTATTATATATGATACAAATCAAATTTTGTTTAAAAACAATCATGTGTACACACACATATTTAGGAATTACTGAAAAGTTATCTCTGGGTAATGGGGACATAAAACTTTTTCCTTTGTTTTTACGTATCTTATAAATTATTTGCAATGAACAAGTTTTACAATTAAAAGCAAAAGCATGTTAGATATTAGATAAAACATATCTACTTTGATCTGCTTTTTTGTCATAGGTGAAATGACATTTGAAGATAAGCCAAAGAAACTTTTCCAAGGCACAACCAACATGCTTTCTTCTGATACTACTCAACAGTCTGATATGAATGTGTGGTGAGTATTAACATGAGGTTTTAAACATTCATTAGCCATTTTTCACTTGCTTTTTAAATCTATTCTTACAATTGTATATATTCAGAAGTATTATTAAATATTTTTAGAAGTTATAAAACTTCTAAATGAATGCTATTAGCTTTAGTTCTTCTCCCTAACATTTATGTGTGACATTAATATATGCTGGATACATTTTTAGAAGTGGGGTCTTGGCATTTGATTAAGAGGTATTAGAGAAGGGGCTCCTGGACAGCTCAGTCAGTTAAGCAGCCAGCTCTTGGTTTCAGCTCAGGGCATGATCTCAGGGTTGTGAGATCGAGCCCCTTGTTGCAGGGGGTTGATGGTTGCTCTGAGCTCGGCACGGAGTCTGCTTGAGATTTCCCCCTCCCTCTGCCTCCCCTTCTGCTCCTCTCTCTCTCTCTCTCTCTCAAATAAATAAAATCTTGAAAAAAGAGGTATTAGAGAAATATATAAAAATGCAGGCTTGGAAAAAAGTCATCTTCTGCCCATCTTTTCTTCCTTGGATTTTTGTGTGCTTTGTTAGGCTGAGCTTATTATTGAAAGGCGGGCCAAGAAAGCATGTTTTAATAATCAAGATGGGAAATGCAGTGAATGGGTTTTTATTTAATGTTACTGTTGGCTTTGTTTTACTGCTCTTGTGAAATTGCTCTTGTAACTAGTGCCAGTTCTTTGCTTCATATATTTTGTGTTCATTTGTAGACAAAGCAGAGTGCACAGAGATCTTTTGAATTCTGTTATCAACGAATGGCATTTTCTTCTCCTAGTCTATCTTTAGATATTCTTGATGGAAACAATAGTGGTACAGGATCTTCTTGAATTCATCAGTTAGAATCAGCACTGTCACATTCTCCCATATCATCTTCTGATTCTCGTTCTCCATGTATTGTAGTAGATGAACTTTGAACCAAGTGATTCACCCATCCCAAGACTTTCTCACCAGTGGAGAAACACATGTTTGTTTCTCTCTCCCTGCCCCCGCACACACACAAGTTAGAGCAACTGTTTCTTATTACCTTACTTTCTCAATTTGCTAAAATTCTGTTTACGGAATTTGCATATCTAATTGCTGTTTATGCCCTTAAAACCAATGTAGTGATACTTTCAAAGATGTTTTCCAAATAAGAACTATATTGAAGATACAATCATGTCTTCAAGCTGCTAAAGTGTAGAAACATGCTGCACCTTGGTTTTTTAAAAACATAATTGAGAGCTCTATTTATTAATATGAATAAGTAGATAAAATTATAAGTCCTAACGAAATATAATTGTTCCATTAATCAAGTAAAATAATTTTTTAGGTTATACGCTGAATGCCCATGCTAGTTCTTAATGATATTTTCAATAATTGCTAGTTTCCTCTTGGTAAGGAAAAATCACCTATCTTAGAGCAGTTTTTAAAACTAAGCTAGTTATACTGTGCTGATACAAGGATTGCCTATTTTGCACATGAATCCTTGGATGTTTAATTTGTTGGGAAGGAATAGGTAGGGGAAACAAGATGAAGAAAGGTAATTGAATAGCATGAAAATAATATGTAATTGGGCTTCACTCAATTTGTCTTTAACCTGATTATCCCTGATCAATTTTGTATCCTAATTAAGTGTGTGTTGATAAATTGTGGTCTTTTACATTTCTATGAAGTACTTTTTATTCATCATCATGACTACTGATTTGATTAAATAAGGCTTAATGTGTTAGAGTTTTTCTGCAAGAATCATATACTTCCAGTTGTTCCCTAAGGACTACAAATGTTTGTTTAAACCTCAATTTTCTATTCAAAAGTCTTAAGGGTTTTCTGAATAAGAAAAATTATTTGTTAAAAATTTAAAATCTAAAGTGAATGCTTTAAGTAATTGAGGATGGCATTAGCATTTTGAAAAATAGAAATGTATCCTCATGAAGTTCAGAATTGGTTTAAATTTCCTCAACTAATGAAATAGGAATGGTTATCTAAAATATTTATAAAAAGTTTTTCCTTGTCATTAGAAATCATCAGAATGACGAAAATCAGATGTAGGTATGCCCCACATGGGAAAAAGACTGTTACATCAAGAATTCTTTGCCAGGGGCGCCTGGGGGGCTCAGTCGGTTAAGCGTCTGCCTTCGGCTCAGGTCATGATCCCAGGGTCCTGGGATCGAGCCCCGCGTCGGGCTCCCTGCTCCTGGTGAAGCTCCCTCTCTCTCAAATAAGTAAATAAAATCTTAAAAAAAAAAAAAAGAATTGTTTGACAGTGGCCCCAATGAAATTGATTAGCATGGCTAGATATGTGGGAGAAGATTTTGTTCACCTATGAATAAATTAATATTTATGAGATGACTGGGATCATGATAGTCCCTGGAAACTGGGACAGGAGTCTACAAATTGGTCAAGGACAAGTGAACTATCAATATTGCCTTTGTAACTCAGCTTCTATACTTGCCAGACCCTTAGTGGACCAATTGTGAACATATACGGGGGCCGTCATGGGCTGAGGTGTAACTGCAGTGCTGTTCCTTGCTGAGATTGTACATCGTTGACGGACAGTGTCCTCATGTATTATTGACACTTGAGCAAAAGAAAAAAAAGAGGTTTGCAAAATATTCGGGTACAAAGACCAAGGATGGAGAAAGTGAACAGTGGGAGGAGGACTACTATTCAGTTGTATAAAGAGCTTTTATTTTATTTATTTTTCTATTTTTTAAAAGTTTTACTTAGTTATAGTCATAGAGATGACTCTCTATAGTCATAGAGAGAGAGAGCACAAGCAGGGGGAGCAGCAGGCAGAGGGAGAAGCGGGCTCCCTGCCGAGCCAGGAGCCCGACGCGGGGCTCAATCGCAGGACCCTGGGATCATGACCTGAGCCAAAGGCAGACGCTTAATGACTGAGCCACCCAGGTGCCCCATAAAGAGCTTTTAATCAATAAATCTTGGTAATACTGACAATCTGAACACACCTCTTTCAACTCAGACAATTCCTTTCATTCTATTCAGTTAGTTTTTATTGTTTTAGTTGTACTCCAGGATGCCGCACTTACTATAATATGCTCAGAATCAAGGGCTTTGTAGTTGGTGTTCCGGTCTGTTGCCTTTTGAGCTTTTGTATTGGGAAGATCTGTTTCTTATATGATTTTTCATTTCTTTTTTTTTTTTATTTTTCATTTCTTAAGTGGTTTTCAGACCATAGTAGTTCTAACTTTTACACGATATTTTTTGTGGTTGATTTTTTTCTTTGTTGTTGTCGTTTCAAGTTTTTATTTAAATTCTAGTAACATACAGTGTAATATTAATTTCAGGAGTAGAATTTAGTGATTCATCACTTATATATAACACCCAGTGCTCATCACGACACCTGCCCTCCTTAATGCCCATCACCCATTTAGCCCATCCCCCACCCACCTCCCCTCCATCAACCCTCAGTTTGTTCTCTATAGTTAAGAGTCTGTTTTATGGTTTGTCTCTCTCTCTCTCTCTTTCCCTTAATGTTCATCTGTTTTGTTTCTTAAATTCCACATATGAGTGAAATCATTTGGTATTTGTCTTTCTCTGATTAACTTATTTCACTTAGCATAATATACTCAAGCTCCATCCATGTCACTGCAAATGGCTAATATTCCATTATACACACACACGCGCACACACACACACACACACACACACACACACACAACATCTCCTTTATCCGTCTGGCTCTTCCTATAGTTTGGCTATTATTGATAATGCTGCTATAAACATCGGGGTGCATGTGTTTCCCTTTGAATCAGTATTTTTGTATCCTTTGGGTAAATACCTAGTAGTGCAATTGCTGGGCAGGGAAATACAAATCAAAACTACAGTGAAAGTGGCTGATTATTTTTAGTTATGGTAAGACTATATTTTGTCATCCTAAACATGCCAAGGAATTGTCATGTCAGTTTTCATAGTAAAAGACATGTATTAGTTTCCTAGGGCTGCCATAACAAAGTACCACAAACTGGGTAGCCTAAACAAAATAGATTATCTCACAGTTCTGGGGGCCAACAGTCCAAGACCAAGGTGTCATCAGAGTTGGTTCCTTCTGGAGGCTCTGAGGGAGAATTTGTTAATGTCTCTCTCTAGCTTCTCGTAGATGCCAGAAATCCTTACCTTGCAGACATATCTCTCCAGTCTCTGTCTCTCTCATCGTATGGGCTTCTCCCTGTGCTCCTGTGTTTTTATGTGGTTATTATAAAGACACCAGTCACTGGATTTAGGGCCCAAGCTAATCCAGTATGACTTCATCTTAGCTTGACTACATCTGCAAAGACCCCATTTCCATCTGCAGATACCGGGCATTAGGACTTCAGCATCATCTTTTGGGGTACACATTTTAAGCCACAACAGAATACTTTTGGGATTTTTATTTTGCTTGTTTCATTTTTCTTAAGTTAGTTTTTTAAATCATCTATCTTATAACCCATTTTAAACAAGAGGTGACCATATGAAACATAGCATTGTTATATCTCCTTATATATTATACATATATGCTTATTTATATATATATGTATGCTTATGTACAGATATACTAGTTTTCACGTTGCCAATAAAAGGATAAATGAAAGTATGGTTTTAAAATATTTTCAAAGCGCCTTTCGGCCGGAACCGCCATCTTCCAGTAATTTGCCAAAATGACCAACACAAAGGGAAAGAGGAGAGGTACCCGCTATATGTTCTCTAGACCTTTTAGAAAACATGGAGTTGTTCCTTTGGCCACATACATGCGAATCTATAAGAAAGGTGATATTGTGGACATCAAGGGAATGGGCACTGTTCAAAAAGGAATGCCCCACAAATGTTACCATGGCAAAACTGGAAGAGTCTACAATGTTACTCAGCATGCTGTTGGCATTGTTGTAAACAAACAAGTTAAGGGCAAGATTCTTGCCAAGAGAATTAATGTACGCATTGAGCATATTAAACACTCAAAGAGCCGAGACAGCTTCCTGAAGCGTGTGAAGGAAAATGATCAGAAAAAGAAGGAAGC